TTTTGTTTTTTTTTTGAAACAGGGCCTCACTATGCACAGTAGCTCAGGGTGGGCCCGGACTCACTATGTAGCCCAGGCTGGCCTCAAACTCAGAGATCCTCCTGCCTCAGTCTCCCAAGTGCTGGGATTATAGGCATGTGTCACCACACCCTGTATCGGTGGTAACTCTCAATGAAACATCCTATAATTGCTCTATTGGAAGCATCTATGGAAAAAAAAAAAGTAAGGGACTGGGATGTGGCTCTGTAGTAGAGTGCTTGCCTGGCTTGCTCAAGGCCCTAGACTTACTCCCCAGTACATCAAAAATAAATAATAAATGGAGAAAAGAAAACACCTGCCACTTCTACTGCCCCACCAACTCAAACACAAAAGTAGGGGCGAAGACATAAATCTTGCTAATTATCTGGAAGTTAAATTCAAGTGTAAACCTATCTTCCATCCTTGCCATGATTTTTGAAGTTATTTACCCATGTCACCAACTCATTTCCCACAGTGAGCATTAGAATCCCAAAGGGTCCAGACTTCTGTCATAAAAGCCAGAAAGGTAAAGTATCAGTAAAAACAAATATGAAATGTGAACTTAAGTTAAAAAAAAATACTGGGTTTAACAGTGTACACCTGTAATCCTAATACTGTGGGGATGCTGAGGCAAGGGAATCACAAATTTAAGCCCAAACTGGGCAACTTAGTAACTTAGCAAGACCCTATCTCAAAATAAATATAAAGAGGGCTAGAAATGTGACACAGTGCAAAGGCCCTGAGTTCAATCCTCAGTAGGATCCAGGGGGGGAAAAAAAACTCAATCACCCTGACTGTATTTTCACATACACAGCCTTAACAGGTAATCTCAAACAAAACTGGAACAGATTAGGGTGAGGTAAAACTGGCTAGAGAAGTAGGCGAGACCTACTACAGAGATCCCAGAACACGTGGGGAAGAACAGTTCCCAAAACCCTACAGGTGGACTTCTCCAGAACAGGTTTTCAATAGGATGGCCTAGACCTGACCTCAGCCTGAGGTATGAGATCCCAGCACCACCGCTCAGGACCCAAATGTATCAAAATTCTCGCAGGTTTCCTCAAGATTTGGACAGTATTATAAAGGACACAGACACCAAGAAAAGCTTGCTACTGTGACTTTCCACCAGATAGCCCACCCTGATTTCTCCAGAATGTTCTTTTACCTTGCTTTTTCCTTTTTCTCCACCCAAGCTTGTTCAGTTGAGCCAGGTTCTTCCTCACTCTTCACTTTTACTTTTTCAAATAAACCATGCCACTGCTTTTTGCTTGTTTTGTTCAAGTCTTTGTTCCAGACAAGCACCTGGAATCTAACTAAGAGGAGAGGTGGGCAACCCAGGACTCCTTAACTAGAAGGACCTACCAGACAACATTTTGGCCTAGCCAGGAGACTCCAATAACAAAACTATCTGCTTATTAGCAAACTGAATCTCGGGTTCAATAAAAGGGAGGGGAAGACAATTCAGAATACAAACCGAAGTATGCAATTTCTACAATACACTAGATTATAAATATGTTAAAAGTAAACTGATAAGACAGTAAGAATGAAAGCTCAGCATGGTGGCATCCACTTGTAATCCCAGCACTCCGGAAGTTGAGGCAGGAGGCCTGCTGAGAGTTCCAGGCCAGCCCAGGCTATATACAGTTAATTGCAGGCCTGCATGAATTATACAGGTAATGAGACCTTACTCAAAAAAAACAAAAAAAAACTGGGCGAAATTAAACTCTGCTGAATATCAACATTAAGCTATGGTTACCCTTGAGGAATAGGTAGGTGGGTAGTGGCTGGAAAAAAATTGAAATGAGGCTTCTGGAGAGTTGATCATATTCTGTTTATTGCCCTTGAAGGTACTGGTTTAACAATATTCAGTTTGTGAAAATTCATCACTTTTATTGTGTACTTTTCTACAGGTTTAATATTTTTACAAACGTAACATTTTAAAGAGCCAAAAACATTTAACAAGCCTATTTTTTAAAATCAAAATAAATTTCGCATTCAGCAATTTCTTAAAATTGATCATGCTGATTTCAGATAAAGCTACCTGATAATTATGTCCAACATTAATGACTTGCCCAAATTTAATGTTTTTTTTTTCCTGAGACAGGGTCTTGTTATGTAGTTCAGGCCTGCCTTAAACTCACTATGTAGCCCAGGCAGGCCTTAAACTTATGACAATCCTCATGCCTCAGTCTCCCAGAGTCCTGAGCTTAACAAACATATTTCACCACCCCCCTGTGAACTTTCAAACACTGTATCTTAGAAGTACCTATCTAAAAAGATGGATACAATTAGAAATCATATAGTAGTGAACTGATTAAACTACAGATTATGACTAAAGTTTAAAACTTGTTAATAACCAATTTAGTAAACTGAAATCTAATATTAAAAGCATAAATGCCCAGTATCAGGGTAAGAAACCAATTCTGGCCTCCTAAAGAGAGTGATTTAAGATGAGGGAGAGGAGGAACCTCTAAAGGAGAAAAACATGACTAGACTGAGTGTAGAGCATCCAACAAAAGGAAAAACCAGAGGCTAGTCTCTAAAACCAAAGTCTAAGGTAATGCAAAAGCAGCCAGCAAACACCCAAGACTCACCTACAAAAGAGGAAACATACTCCCTACACGGTTTCTGAAATCTGCAAGAAACCCCTCAGAGGGGCTGGGGATTTAGTGCAGTGGCACCAGTGGCACAGGGCTTCCTGGCAGCCCTGAGGTCCTGAGTTCAATTCCAGGTACCCAAAAATAAAAAAAGAAGCGCTCAGAAATAGCTAACTTCTGGATCTCTGCCATGACTTGCAAAGTATAGTCTCCACTAAGTCGAAATAAAAACAACAGATGGTTTCAATTACTGCCAAAGAACGATCAAATTGTCTAAATCGTGGAAGTATCATTAAACTTCAACCGAATACTTTAGATTGCCTTCGCGAAAACCAACCATAGAAAATAAAAGCATGTTAATAGCTTTAGCTTAGACATTTAAAGTAACACATTTAAAAAACCAAAAGGTACTTTCTCACCATTTCTCATATTGTAACTCAACACCAAAACCTAGTTTTTGTTTTAGTTTGTTTTTAGCGTTTAGTTTTACAGTTTTATCCACACAGAAGTATCAAAACCTATAAAGCAAAATGTTAACCCTGGAATATGATTTTTATTTTACTTTCATAGTAATTTCTAAAATTTCTATGTAATCTGCATTATCTTTACCCCAAAAGAAAAAAACCTGTTTATTGCCAAGATTCCAAACTGTAAAGCCTTAAAAATCAAGTAAATAAATTCTAAAATCACATTACTAGAATACTAACGTCCGGTTCATGTTTTCATCCATCGAACAAAAACGAAATTAACATAAAGCCTATTCTCACCATCACAACTCAGAACAGGTACTGGGACCTTTTCACAGCTAGAGAACATCAACTTTTTCCAAGGTGACAGTTATACGACCTATGAATCAAGATGCCAGGTAAAAGTCAGTTCATTAGGTTACTAAACTGCAACCAGTCCATATAAAACCCACCTACAGCTGCAAATTTCTGGGAAACTAGCAAAAGTTGCTTTTTAAGGATGAAATTTTTTCCCACTTTCCCAAACTTAGAAAACTGACTAAAAAAAAACTTAAACCAAGTCTGGCGGCACACACCTGTAATCCCAGCACACTGAAAGGCTGAAGCAAGAATATCACAAATTTAAACCTACCTGGGAAATTCAGTGAGACCTTGTCTCGAAATACTTTTTTAAATGAGCTGGGGATATAGCTGTGTATAAAAACCCTGGGTTCAACCTCCAGTACTGCAAATAAATAAATTTTTAAAATAAAAAAAGGGCTAGTGATGTAGCTCAGTGTGAAGGTTTTGTGTTCACACACACACACCCTCAGATACTTTTGTATTTGACTCGTAAAAGGTGCTATCTGTAGTTTTCATGCTGAAAAAAATGAAACAAACTTCTGGGGCCCCCTCACTACATTATCATTCAGAGAACATCCAATCACATGCAATCATGTGTTGTCCACAGGTCTGCCTTCAAAACTAATCACTTCTGGAGACGGATAGAGAGGTAACAAAGCAAACTACACCAAAAACGGTAACGGCAGAGTCTTGCTAACTATAAATACGTGCTTACTGTAGCAGTGTTTCAACTCTTTTCCGTGTGAAAACTCTAGAGACGGTGGGGGCAAGGATCACTCTCAAACATCTGTATATGAAAAAATACGTACTGAAACTTAAACCCTAACTCTGAGGCCTGTCATCAAATCACAAGCCTAGAATTTCAAGTAACTCATGAGAAAATCCTCCTCAAAATGAAAAACAAAAAACCTTCCTGAGAACAGTCAACGGTAAAATTGAACAGTAACACTAACAATAATCTCTCACCTAAAAGCAAATTCACCTAGAAAAATCACTGTCCAAGTCTTTAAAAGTAACATTAAAACTTTTATCTTTTCAAAAATCATTTTCCGGGTTCCATGGGAATTGTGACTTCCAACTCGACTCAGTGAAATAAACTTTTCCTCTCAATGTTGTTTTATAATTCTAAAACAACCCGTCCAGAAGTGTAAAAAGAAAAACCCCTCGCCGACCCGATCTGTGGCTACCTCCTAGGTCCTTAAAAACCTGCAAAGCCCCGGGTTCGGGGCGCTGGCGAGCCGGGGCTTTCGGTGCCCCGGGCAGACTCCAGGCTGGCACTGCAAGCCAGGGTCTGCGCGGACGGAACAAACTCGGGAAGAAACGACGAGGAAGAAAGGCACGCCGCCGCGGGGCTGAAAGGACAGGATGGAAAGGGAGAGGAAAAATCCGAGCAATCTGCACCGGCGCGCCCTGGAAAGCACCGGGCCGCGCAGCGGGAAGCCCGCTCCGAACTCCTCGCGCTCCGGCCGCTCCCGGCCGCGGGGCTCGGGGCTCGGGGCCCGGCGCGCAGGTGCGCGGGCCGGAAGCCGGAGCCCGCCCGGGTCCCCCGGACCCCCCGCCCCCGCTCCGCCCGCACCTCTCGGTCCTTGAGGCCCAGCAGGAGCACCTCCTCCATCAGGGTCAGCCGCGTTTCCTTGGAGTCGCCCTTGTCGTCGTCGTCCTGCTCGTCGCGGCGGCTCTGCGCGTCGTCCTCGCCGCTGCCGCCGCCGCCGCCCGCCGCCCGCTCCTTGTCGGCGGCGTTGCGGGAGGCCTCGGTGCGCCGCTGCACCAGGCCCGAGCTGCGCTGGGTCAGCGAGGTCATGGCTCCGGCCCAGGCGCCGCGCCGGGCCGAGGGGGCCGCGGGACTGACCGGGTTTCCCTCCTCCTCCTCCCCCCCGCCCGGCCCCAGACCCGAGCTTCCGGGTTAAATCCTGGCGCTGGGGCGACGTCCGTCGGTAACCAGACCTGAGGCCGTCATGGGGCGACGGCGGGCCGGGCGTCGGCGGGGCGGGAGAGGGGCGCCTTCCTGCCCGCGGCCGCGGCCCCCACACCGGACGGAATCCGAAGCGGAGGCAGCGGCGGCGCCTTTCCAATATGGCGGCGCGGGCTGACGTCACCGGAGGATGTGGCAGCGCCGGCGCGGGGCGGCGCCGAGGGCCCCGGAAGCAGCGGGGGGGGCGGGGCCCGTCGCCGTCGCCGCCGCCGCGGGCGTCCGCGAGGCTCACCGTCTCCGGGTCAGCGGAGCCGCGGCTGTGCCCGGCGTGCGTCCTCCTTCCCTTCGTCTCTCCCTCCGCCCCTCACGACCAGGACGGAGCCGAAGACGGGCAGAGCCGCGCGAGAGTGGGCCCGCTCGTCCCTCAGCGCCGCGGACGCGAGAGCCCTCGGGGGCGGCTGCCGCGTGGCCGGGATCCCGCTAGACACCCGGGGCCCCGCGGCGGCCGCGAGGGCTGTGCTTGCGGCTGGTGGGGCGGGAGGGGCGCGCTCCGCCCGGACGCCCTGACCCTGGGAAAGAAGCACCTGCGTGTGAATGGTGCGAAAGTGGACGTGCAGTGTTTCCTAGGCGTGGAAAGGTTACGCAAACAGGCTGCTGCTGTTCGTCAAACTTTTGACCTCTCTGCCAGCGATATGGGCAGTAAAGCGACCAGGGCGCGGGGAGCACTGTACAGTTAGTACTGCACGCGGTTGTGCGCATGACCTGAAGGATCCTTTTATGGAGACAATAAACCTGTTGGGTTTCGTGCCACGTCTTTGTACACATTAACTCTCTCTCGATGTAATTACTAGCTTCAATCCTCTTGTTGTGCTTGGCGGTTTGTGCAAATTATGTTCAAGAATAGCTGTCAGATCTGAGAGGGGTAGAAAGGAGAGTAAGTAAAACAGTATCCCGAAATGGCACTGTGGGCCATCCAGTATTATTTAAGATAAACATGACCACAGGGTGTGGCTTACCGTCCACAGATCCATTATCCAGAACTAGTGTACTGGAAAGTGAGAATGCTAAGTTGCGGGGAACGTCGGGCTCTTCCTTTTCCTATTTTCTCTTCCCTTTGTCACTCTCTGTGAGTAAAGGTCAGTTTCGCTTGAACCAGTTTCTCCCACTGACATCCTCTTCAATCCTTTGTCCCTTCATCTCTCATCCGATTCTTTACTAAACAGCTTAAAATGTTTCTTTGTGTTAAAAAAAAAAAAAAGTTCATTATTTGACTCATAGAATCAAATCCATAATTCAAAAAAAAATGTACAGGGGGGTAGTGAATCTTCCAGGACTGACTTTGCCATCCAGTTGTTTTCCACCCTCAAACCCTGCACGTTTTAAAATTTCGCCAACAGATCTTCTGATAATCCTTCCCTTAAAATGTGAAGCCCAATTCCCCTTGACGGCGGGCCAGACTCACTAACTCTTGTAACGAGTGCAATGTAGCCGACAAGGCTGATCCTGTGTGACTTCTCAGACTAGGTCATAAACGCCTTTACAACCCAGACCGCCATCCCTGCACCCTTTCATCATTCAACTGGGAGAAGCCAGCCGTCAAGTCGCGGCACTGAAGCATCCCTGGGGAGGGCTCCATGTAGAGGAACTGCAGCCTTCCGCCCACTCTCACGTGAGTGATGGACCCCTCTTGGAAGCAGGTTTTCCAACCCAGTCAATCGACGATAGTCCTAGTCAACAGCTCAGCTAAAACCTAGTGCAAGATTTTGAGGTAGTACCCACATAGCTAAGTCACTCCCAAACTTTTGACCTACAGAAGATGTGTATTAAGTTGTTAATCTGTATATATGATAAATAACTTTATAAGGACTTGTAAATAAGTGAATCTGATGCCTCGCAAAATAAAAAGGGGGTAGAGAGAACGGGGATAAAAAGACTTGAGATGTGTTATGAATCATTATGTACTGCAAATATGTGCTAATAAAAATTTTAAAAAGTGAGATAAACACTAGGTATAACCAAAATAGGTAGTTCAGGATGGCCTTAGACTCACTATGTACCCCAGGCTGGCCCCTCAAATGCAGGGCAGTCATCCTGTCTCAGCCTCCTGAGTGCTGGGATTACAGGGTTGCACCACCATGCTCTTGCCTAGCATACGGGAGGCCCTGGGGTCAACCTCAGCACTACAGAAAGGGAGAAGGAAGAGGGAGGGAGGGAAAGGGGAAGTAAGAATTAAGATGTGTACATGTACCAGCTCCCCACAATTAATATAATCATACACTGCAAACATGTAATAAATAAACAGAAAAAAATTAGAGCTAGTACTTCACAACCACCATGATGGCTATAATAAAAACAACATAATAACAAGTGTTGTAAGAGTGTGGGGAAATTAGACCCTTCATATACTGCTTGTACAAGTATAAAATGACGCACCCGCTTTGGAAACCAGTCTGGCAATTCTTCATAGGGTTAAATATATAAACCAACAATTTTCCTTCTAGGTATATCTGCTAGATAAGTGGGAACATATTATTTACACAAAAACCTAAACATAAATGTTCATAGCAGAAACATACATAATAACAAAATAGTGAAAACAACTCAAATGTTCACCAACATGGGAATGTATATGTAAAATGTGAGATAGTGTTTTTTGTTTTGTTTTGATTGAGACAGGGCCTTGCTGTGTAGTTCAGGCTGGCCTCAAACTCATGACAATCCTCCTGCCTCGGCCTCTCGAGTGCTGGGATTACAGGGATGCACCACCACATCTGACAAGATATATATATGTGTGTATATATATATTTTCACACACACACACACCC